AGACAATTTGGTACTGGCACAAGAATAGACCCATGAACCAGTGGAACAGAATAGAGAGCCCAGGTATAAACCCAAGCATATATGGTCAATTAATATACGATAAAGGAGCCATGGACATACAGTGGGGAAATGACAGCCTCTTCAACAGCTGGTGTTGGCAAAACTGGACAGCTACATGCAAGAGAATGAAACTGGTTTATTGTCTAACCCCATACACAGTAGTAAACTCGAAATGGATCAAAGACCTGAATAAGTCATGAAACCATAAAACTCTTAGAAAAAAATATAGGCAAAATCTCTTGGATCTGCCACGTAGTAGACTTCTTTCCAAGCCACTACATACACAGTGGGTTCACTTTTTATAGGTTGCAAAGTATTGCAGTTACTGGTAAAGCTGTAGAGAATATTTTTGTAGGATATATTAGTGTAAATTACATTTCTAGGTCATAGGACATTTAATTAAAATTTATAACTGCTATATGGCTTATGAAATATTGATTCTCTTCAACTCTGTGAATATTCATTCTTTCACACTCTTGCCAACCTTAGATATTAATTAAATTTTTTTTACAAAGTTGAGAGAAAAATGGCACTTTGTTTTTAACAGCACATCTTTATTAGAGAGAATGAATATCTAGTTTTTTCATTGTGTATGTTTCATTTGTAACAAAGCTGGGGTAAGTTTGGCAAAATGTAAAGATCTGACAGTTGGGTGTTGGGTGCTTGAGTGTTAGGATGCTCTCCAAGTTTTATGTATGTTTATAATATTTCATAATAAAAATGGAAGACTAATTAGGTCTCCTGGAATTTCCTTTTACCCTTTCCCTTCTTCCCTTCCCCGCCGGCCAAGGTGACTTTCACTGTCCCCTGGCCACACCTGATGGCAGCTTCACGTGTTTCAACCTAATTATTTGTCTCCACAGCCTGTGAGCTCTGGAAGGTGAGACTTTATCTTGTGTATCTGACTATTGTCAGAATCTAGCACAGTGGCTAGTGAGTAGTATGTGTTCAACGCTTAGGGAATGAATGTATGAAAACTACTTGCTCTGAAAGTTTCAACTTCCCTTTTCTATACTATATGCCACTGCATTACAGTGCTCACAGCATTGACCTGCTACTTCAGATGGGTTTGTGATAATTCTGAGATAATGGCACAGATACAAGCAGAGTGTTATAAGCAGACGTTGTGGAGAGAGAAGACATATTGGAAAGAGAGGATAATACTAGGAAAGTTAACACAAGCGATAGGTTAAATATACTACGAATTATCAGCCTGAACATGAGAAATGGCTTAGGACCCCTCTTGTTCTTTCGCTGTGTCTAGAATAGCTGTGTCCCCTGGAAATCACTGTTTGTAGCGGTGATCTCAGTTTATAATGATCGTGGTGGTTTTCTTTACTAAAGTGTGTGTGGGGGCAGAACCTTGTCTGCCTTATTTTTCTTTGTGTTCCTAAAGCCTGGCACATAGTAGGTACTGGATATGCATTTGTTGAAAGAAAATCAGTTTGCTTTTCTAGCAAGATTCTTGCCTTTGTTTGTTATCCTAATTTTAGCAATTGTATTGAGTCATTTGTGCCAAGTTCCCAGCAGTGGAGTCTGCCAGTGTTTGGTTGTTGTTTGTGGTGGCGAAAGAGATGCTGAAAGAACAAACAGGCAGGTGTTTTTAGCAAATGAAAACTTGTTATAAAAACCTCAGTATTTGAAATGCCCCATGATTGAATGCGTTTCCCTTAATTGTGTGTGCTTGATTTTACTCTTTAGCCCAACTCCATAGCCGCCAGGGTATAATTCACTTTTTAAATCCTCCCTTAACCTTTTTTTTTACTGTGGCGCAATATATAGAGTATACAATTTCACCATTTTAACCATTATTAAGTGTACAGTTCAGTGGCATTAAGTCCGTTCACATTGCTGTGCAATCCCTACCACCATCCATCTCCAGAACTCTTTCATCTTCCCAGAGTGAAAGTCTGTCCCCATTCAACAGGAGCTCCCCAATTCTCCCTTAATTTTAACCAAAAGGTTCACATTTTTATTGATAAGTGGCTGAATCCATTAGAAATAAGATTTTTTTATGTGTGTCTTCTCACAAATTACAAGAGTCAAACCTGTGTGTATTCAAACAACATAGGCAGTGAAAAGCGAAGGTGGTTTCCATGCCTTGGAGATAACCAGTAAGTTTGGTATATAGTCTTCCAAAATAGAAAAAATGTGAAAATTATAAAGTTGTATTTCTTAGACTTGTGATAAAGGTGACTCTTCAGTGTAATTGAGAAGGACAGTAGAACTTGGGGAATGCTCCCGAAGAACTTGGGCGGCGGGGGGCAGGGCGCCACGTTCTTTACCTGAAACTTTCTTTCCGTCAGGATCAACCTGAGGCCTACTGCCTTTGACTTCTTTGAAGAAGAAGTCTTTAAGTCTCATTGTTTTTACCTCTTTATCTTGGGGACAGTTACTACAAATTCAGGGTTGGAAGGGCTGTGGTTGGGTATTTCTGTAGAAATGAGATTTCCTTTTGACTGAATTTCAACCCAAATTACTTTTCTCTGCAGTAGTCCTGTTCTGTCTCAGGAGGTAACTTTCTTGCCCTAGGGCTCTAGGTCAGAGTGTCTCTCTGGCAAGTCCCTGAGGTAGTGCTTTGTAGCACAGCGGGCCTGCCCCCGCCACGGCTGGGGGCCCGGGCGCGGGCGCCCCCGTGAGCACTGCCCACTGTTGGCATTGTTTTCCGACCTGTAACCTAGCTGGAGTGGGAAGGGACTTCATTGTAATGACAGTATCAGTACGTAGGTTCTATTTTTTTTAATACTTTTCATGATAATTGTAAAGTGATGTTTTGTTTTTTTGTTATGTGTGGTTTTGTTTATTTTGGTGGACTCACATGGGACATTAGCCACCACTTAGTTCATCCTTTCAGTGTTCAAATGAAATTGAATTTCATACAACTCGGTGTTGTGGTTCAGAACACAGGCTTTATTCACACCTGCCTCCATCATTAATCAACACCGTGGCTTTGGGAAGATTTCTTAGCCTAAAAGTCTTGCGCTGCGTGATTGTAAATGGTACATAGCATACTTGCCTAATGGGTTAGCAGGGAGATGAGATGAGGCGACCTGGTGTCCTGCGGCCTGTTCCACTCAGCAGCCAGAACTTCCAGTGTGTGCTAGACTCTACTGAAGAGGCAGACAGATAGTGTGCCTGCTTGCGAGGAGTTCATGTCCGTACGAAGGGCGAGGGGAGCGACAGAGTAATGGTGATGAATAACACTAGCAGCGTGGACAGCTCATCTGTGCGCTCTCCAAAAGGTAGTGGTGATTTTTAACAAGTAGTCTCTGATCTTTGTTGCTAGTGTAAACCTACACAAAGGCACAGGTATTAAAGGTCCCAGTCCGTAGCAGCACGCTTCAGGCTGAGCAGAGCAATGTCGAGAAACAGAAGGGCCTCGTGTGCAGGCTGGGGCAGGGGAGTTCTGCAGAGACGGGCATAGCTCTTCATAGGGGTGCTAGAGTTTCTTGAGTGGTTTTTCATTGAAGCATATCTCATTAATAGTCTTTATTCAAGCCAGGCACTATGTATAGAATGGCCTTTGGAGAAAGGCACCTGATTTCAGTTTACACACATAAAAGCCATCATCTACCTCCAAAGAGGTACCAGACCTGTTGACTTTTTATTAACCTTAGACTCACCAAGAAATACTCAAACTGGCTTAGAAATTCATTTAAATTAGGTGTAGACACACTTTATGAGATGTAGGGGAATGCTTTAAGCAACAAGTCTTGGCTAATTCGTTCTTTCTGTCGCTTTTAGAGAAACCAGTTTCTGTGTCTTCTCCTTCATGTCTCCTCCCCTCCTCCACCTCTCCAAGACCTCCCTCCTGCCTGTGGGCTTACCTGCGGGCTGTTCTTCTGTGGGCCCCTCGCCCATTCCCAGTGGTCTCCTCCAGTCCGTATCCCTCACGGCAGCCTTCCCTCCCCTGGCGGTGCCCGTGTCCCTGGGCGGTCTCCTGGCCTCCAGTATGACGAGCCTCTTGAGGGCTGGTTCCCAGCCCACTGGGAGCGCCTTGGCTCTGCTGAAAGCACAGAGATGTGCACCTCAAAGTTGTTCACCTAAGAGTCACTTAATGTTAACTTTTTTCTAAACTCTCATTTAATTTTTCCTCCTTTTGTTAGACCTTGCTGAATAGTGGGCCAGATCTAATCTATGTTAGAGAAGAAAAATCTGCCTTAGTCAAATGTTTCTTTTCTGTTTAGCTCCAAAACCTGGGAATTAATCCAGCCAACGTTAGATTCAGCACGCTGACCATGGAATCTGACAAGTTCATATGTGTCTGAGAGAAAGTTGGTGAGCAGGCTCAGGTAGTGATGATTGACATGAGTGACCCAGCGGTACCAATCAGATGGCCTATCTCTGCAGAAAGTGCCATCATGAATCCAGCCTCTAAGGTGATAGCTCTGAAAGGTAAGCCTGATGGGACTTTTAGAACAGAATTTTACGTCACTTTACCTGGTTGCCTACCTTCAATATTAGACAAGTGTCTGTAAACTCTTGGCAAAGTGTCACCAATAATACTAAACTTAATTCCTAATGTTTTAGCAAAAGCTCTGTTTTGCATGCCCCGCTGAGTAAGCTCTGTGCCTCATTGCCCATACTGCCAAGTGCATGAGACGCATCAAGTGATCTTAGTGATGTTTTTGGCTTTTCTGCATTTTTCCATTTTTTGGAGACATTTTTCTAGTATGTCATTTGATGTTTGGTGTTCTTGGTAGGTCTCGGAGATGACCAGCACTTTAGTCTTTCTGTTCCTCTAGCACAGCTCTCGCGTACCGGTATATAGTGTGGACCTTCCGGGCGGGGGGCGTGGAGGGAGTGATAGGATAGCAGAGAGAACACAGTGCTTACATGTCATCAGCCTCCCCCAGCCAGGGAGCACCAGGAACACACCTGAAGCTGACAGGTTGGGTTTATTCCTTGTTCCAGAGAGGGAGAATGCATGTGATGCCGAAATGGGGGTGGTCACAGTAAGAGGCCGCTGAAACCTTTTATAGGACTTGGGCTTTGGAGATTTGGGGCATGGTCTGCGGAAGTAGGAGATAGCTGTAGATGGAATGCTGTCAGAAACTGGGGTTGATTTTATGATTGGGTGTCTCCATAAACCCTATCTATGGGAAAGGGCAGACTAGAGTGAGGATAAAGGTATCATTGAAAAGAGATGCTGAAAGAACAAACAGGCAGGTGTTTTTAGCAAATGAAAACTTGTTATAAAAACCTCAGTATTTGAAATGCCCCATGATTGAATGCGTTTCCCTTAATTGTGTGTGCTTGATTTTACTCTTTAGCCCAACTCCATAGCCGCCAGGGTATAATTCACTTTTTAAATCCTCCCTTAACCTTTTTTTTTACTGTGGCGCAATATATAGAGTATACAATTTCACCATTTTAACCATTATTAAGTGTACAGTTCAGTGGCATTAAGTCCGTTCACATTGCTGTGCAATCCCTACCACCATCCATCTCCAGAACTCTTTCATCTTCCCAGAGTGAAAGTCTGTCCCCATTCAACAGGAGCTCCCCAATTCTCCCTTAATTTTAACCAAAAGGTTCACATTTTTATTGATAAGTGGCTGAATCCATTAGAAATAAGATTTTTTTATGTGTGTCTTCTCACAAATTACAAGAGTCAAACCTGTGTGTATTCAAACAACATAGGCAGTGAAAAGCGAAGGTGGTTTCCATGCCTTGGAGATAACCAGTAAGTTTGGTATATAGTCTTCCAAAATAGAAAAAATGTGAAAATTATAAAGTTGTATTTCTTAGACTTGTGATAAAGGTGACTCTTCAGTGTAATTGAGAAGGACAGTAGAACTTGGGGAATGCTCCCGAAGAACTTGGGCGGCGGGGGGCAGGGCGCCACGTTCTTTACCTGAAACTTTCTTTCCGTCAGGATCAACCTGAGGCCTACTGCCTTTGACTTCTTTGAAGAAGAAGTCTTTAAGTCTCATTGTTTTTACCTCTTTATCTTGGGGACAGTTACTACAAATTCAGGGTTGGAAGGGCTGTGGTTGGGTATTTCTGTAGAAATGAGATTTCCTTTTGACTGAATTTCAACCCAAATTACTTTTCTCTGCAGTAGTCCTGTTCTGTCTCAGGAGGTAACTTTCTTGCCCTAGGGCTCTAGGTCAGAGTGTCTCTCTGGCAAGTCCCTGAGGTAGTGCTTTGTAGCACAGCGGGCCTGCCCCCGCCACGGCTGGGGGCCCGGGCGCGGGCGCCCCCGTGAGCACTGCCCACTGTTGGCATTGTTTTCCGACCTGTAACCTAGCTGGAGTGGGAAGGGACTTCATTGTAATGACAGTATCAGTACGTAGGTTCTATTTTTTTTAATACTTTTCATGATAATTGTAAAGTGATGTTTTGTTTTTTTGTTATGTGTGGTTTTGTTTATTTTGGTGGACTCACATGGGACATTAGCCACCACTTAGTTCATCCTTTCAGTGTTCAAATGAAATTGAATTTCATACAACTCGGTGTTGTGGTTCAGAACACAGGCTTTATTCACACCTGCCTCCATCATTAATCAACACCGTGGCTTTGGGAAGATTTCTTAGCCTAAAAGTCTTGCGCTGCGTGATTGTAAATGGTACATAGCATACTTGCCTAATGGGTTAGCAGGGAGATGAGATGAGGCGACCTGGTGTCCTGCGGCCTGTTCCACTCAGCAGCCAGAACTTCCAGTGTGTGCTAGACTCTACTGAAGAGGCAGACAGATAGTGTGCCTGCTTGCGAGGAGTTCATGTCCGTACGAAGGGCGAGGGGAGCGACAGAGTAATGGTGATGAATAACACTAGCAGCGTGGACAGCTCATCTGTGCGCTCTCCAAAAGGTAGTGGTGATTTTTAACAAGTAGTCTCTGATCTTTGTTGCTAGTGTAAACCTACACAAAGGCACAGGTATTAAAGGTCCCAGTCCGTAGCAGCACGCTTCAGGCTGAGCAGAGCAATGTCGAGAAACAGAAGGGCCTCGTGTGCAGGCTGGGGCAGGGGAGTTCTGCAGAGACGGGCATAGCTCTTCATAGGGGTGCTAGAGTTTCTTGAGTGGTTTTTCATTGAAGCATATCTCATTAATAGTCTTTATTCAAGCCAGGCACTATGTATAGAATGGCCTTTGGAGAAAGGCACCTGATTTCAGTTTACACACATAAAAGCCATCATCTACCTCCAAAGAGGTACCAGACCTGTTGACTTTTTATTAACCTTAGACTCACCAAGAAATACTCAAACTGGCTTAGAAATTCATTTAAATTAGGTGTAGACACACTTTATGAGATGTAGGGGAATGCTTTAAGCAACAAGTCTTGGCTAATTCGTTCTTTCTGTCGCTTTTAGAGAAACCAGTTTCTGTGTCTTCTCCTTCATGTCTCCTCCCCTCCTCCACCTCTCCAAGACCTCCCTCCTGCCTGTGGGCTTACCTGCGGGCTGTTCTTCTGTGGGCCCCTCGCCCATTCCCAGTGGTCTCCTCCAGTCCGTATCCCTCACGGCAGCCTTCCCTCCCCTGGCGGTGCCCGTGTCCCTGGGCGGTCTCCTGGCCTCCAGTATGACGAGCCTCTTGAGGGCTGGTTCCCAGCCCACTGGGAGCGCCTTGGCTCTGCTGAAAGCACAGAGATGTGCACCTCAAAGTTGTTCACCTAAGAGTCACTTAATGTTAACTTTTTTCTAAACTCTCATTTAATTTTTCCTCCTTTTGTTAGACCTTGCTGAATAGTGGGCCAGATCTAATCTATGTTAGAGAAGAAAAATCTGCCTTAGTCAAATGTTTCTTTTCTGTTTAGCTCCAAAACCTGGGAATTAATCCAGCCAACGTTAGATTCAGCACGCTGACCATGGAATCTGACAAGTTCATATGTGTCTGAGAGAAAGTTGGTGAGCAGGCTCAGGTAGTGATGATTGACATGAGTGACCCAGCGGTACCAATCAGATGGCCTATCTCTGCAGAAAGTGCCATCATGAATCCAGCCTCTAAGGTGATAGCTCTGAAAGGTAAGCCTGATGGGACTTTTAGAACAGAATTTTACGTCACTTTACCTGGTTGCCTACCTTCAATATTAGACAAGTGTCTGTAAACTCTTGGCAAAGTGTCACCAATAATACTAAACTTAATTCCTAATGTTTTAGCAAAAGCTCTGTTTTGCATGCCCCGCTGAGTAAGCTCTGTGCCTCATTGCCCATACTGCCAAGTGCATGAGACGCATCAAGTGATCTTAGTGATGTTTTTGGCTTTTCTGCATTTTTCCATTTTTTGGAGACATTTTTCTAGTATGTCATTTGATGTTTGGTGTTCTTGGTAGGTCTCGGAGATGACCAGCACTTTAGTCTTTCTGTTCCTCTAGCACAGCTCTCGCGTACCGGTATATAGTGTGGACCTTCCGGGCGGGGGGCGTGGAGGGAGTGATAGGATAGCAGAGAGAACACAGTGCTTACATGTCATCAGCCTCCCCCAGCCAGGGAGCACCAGGAACACACCTGAAGCTGACAGGTTGGGTTTATTCCTTGTTCCAGAGAGGGAGAATGCATGTGATGCCGAAATGGGGGTGGTCACAGTAAGAGGCCGCTGAAACCTTTTATAGGACTTGGGCTTTGGAGATTTGGGGCATGGTCTGCGGAAGTAGGAGATAGCTGTAGATGGAATGCTGTCAGAAACTGGGGTTGATTTTATGATTGGGTGTCTCCATAAACCCTATCTATGGGAAAGGGCAGACTAGAGTGAGGATAAAGGTATCATTGGTAAAGTAGTAGTCACTCATTTTATCCAAGATAGGGGCTGTTTCATGTTTTCTGGGTTGCACAGAAACCTTGTTTTTTGTCTGTGCTTGAATAAAATTCTGAAGTGGCCTTGCTTTGCCTCACTTTATTGTGGACTCAGAGGGACCTTGTCTGAGGTTGGTGTTCTCTGAGGTCATTCATGTCTGCTAGGAGGGCAGCATGGCTACCTGTGAGGGCCAGGTCAGCTTCCTGAGGGCGGGGCTAGCCCTTTATTTTTCTTTCCTTGTCACTATTCATATGAATTGCTTCACCTGTAACATTTTTGAGTGTCGTTTGCTTTTGCATGCAGAGTGTGAGGCTCTGGAACCAAAGTGACAGTTTTCAAGCTTGGTCCTGTTTTTCCTGCACTGCTGTGGCCGTAAGAATGACCCTTGCACACGTCGGCAAGTGGAGGGTGTACAGTGTACTTGAAAGACCCTAGGCCAAAGTGAGCAAAACTCTGTTTTTTATTTAAGGGTATTTGTACAGCGATAATTGAATCACACTTTTATTGTTACACACACTTAGCTATTTTGTAGGTGCCAGTGTGAAAGCATAAAAGCGAAGTCAAGAGGCCCAGTCTTCAATCTCGAAGACCCCCGTTTTGGCTGGTGATGTCTCATGATCGGACCCCTTTTCGAAGAGTCTCCGTTTGCATGTATCCTCATACCTGTGAGAGCTCCTGAGGTGCTCAGTACGAACTGTCTGCAGTCCTGATGTGCCTTATAGCTTTTATTTTGTCCCTCATCTCCTGCATTACTCTTTCTTCTTATGTTTAATTGATTTTTTATGGGAAACAAATTCCTTTCTCATTTTTTTGTGTCTATTCTATAGCTATTTTCTTTGTGGTTGCCACGGGAATTATATTTAACATCTGAAGTTATAACAGTCTAATTTGAATTTATGCCAGCATAATATCAATAACATACAAAAATTCTGCTCCTTTACATCTCCATCCCCATCTCTTTCAGTTATTCATGTCACACAATTACATCTTTTTAAATCGTGTGTCCAAAAACAGACTCATTCATCTCTTAAATTATGTAGAAAACAAGAAGTGTATTTACAAACCAGTTATAATAACACTAGCTTTTAGACTAGTAATTTTTTTGAATGTTTAGTCTATTAAATCATGCAGAAAACAAAAAGTAGAGTTATAGGTCAAGGTTACAATAGTATTAGCTTTTGTAATTACCCATGTACCTTACTTCTGTTGAGGTCTTTGTTTCTTCGTGTGGCTTTGAGTCACTGTCTCGTGTCCTTCCATGTCAGACTGCAGGGCTCCCTTTAGCGTCTCTTGCAGGACAGTTTCAGTGGTGACAGACGCCCTCAGCTTTTGTTTATCTGGGAATGTCTTGATTTCTCCCCCATTTTTGAAGGAAAATTTTGGCAGATACAGGATTCTTGGTCAACAGTGTTTTCTTTTAGTGTGTTATAAATTCTTCTTTAAATTATTTTCTGCTAGATTCTAGAAATTCAATTGATATTTTTGTATATTGACCTTATATCCTAGAGTATTGTTATATTCTACCTGTTGATTCTGATAGTGGTGTTGTAGGTTTCTAGATTCTGTAGGATTTTCTTTTGAACAATCATGCTGTCTATGAATAAAAGATGGTTTTCTTCTTTTTTGGTTTTTATGCCTTTTACTTTTCTTGCCTTATTGCACCGGCTAGGATATGTGGTCAGAGAATTAGTCCTTGTCTTGGTCCTGATCTTAGGGGGAAGCAGGCTCTCATGTTAGCTCTAACTTTTGCGTATAGATACCAAAATCAGAACTCAGCTTTTTATCAAAGATAGAAACAATATGAGTCTTATCAGAAAATGGATGCCAAAGCCTTTTGTCTAGAACCATGCTGTCATGTTTGGACACCAGACACATAATTTGATTCAATTTAGGTTTAATTTAAATTTAAATTAATTAATTATAGTTACATAAAAGTAAAATTTCAGTTCCTGCAATATGTCTTGCTGCACGCATTACAGCCTAATAGCTGTGTATAGCTGGTGTTCTCTGTACTGGGCAGCGCAAGTACACAATATTTCAGATACTGTAGAAAACTCTTTTTGACAGCACTGGTCTAGAATTTAAGAAAAAATATGTGGAGAAGTTGGTTTAATTTGAAGGGATGGTTGTGTCCTTTCCTGAAAGTCGGAGACCCTGACAGAGAAGAGCATCTTTTGTTTTGCTGACCTATCTGAAAAAACGCTTTAAAACTAGAATATTCTAAGTCTAACCAGCCTTAAGCTGATTCTTTTGATAGTTGCTTCAGTAGAATGATTGCCGACTGTTATTCATACATCTATAAATATTCATATATTTTACCATCTTCTGATGAATGGTCTAATGCATAGGAGACTATTCTCAGTATTTAGACATCAAAATATGGTTAATTACTACTAAGACAGCTTTTTTCCCCTCTTAATCAGATTAGTTGTCAGTAGTACAACTTAAAGTAATATTAAAAGGATTCAGAATTAAAAGTGTAAGAGCTTGTCTTTCGGTTTTTTTATTTATCTTTCTCTTATCTCCATTACATTGAATACTAGCTGGGAAGACGCTCCAAATATTTAATATTGAGATAAAGAGTAAAATAAAGTCTCATACAATGACAGAAGAGGTGATCTTCTGGAAATGGGTCTCCGTGAACACTGTTGCCCTGGTGACCGAAACCACAGTCTACCACTGGAGCATGGAAGGCGACTCCCAGCCCGTGAAGATGTTTGAGAGACATGCCAGTCTGGCAGGGTACCACATCATCCACTACCGGGCTGACCGCTACCAGAAGTGGCTGCTCCTTGTTGGCATCTCAGCTCAGGTAAGCTTTTGGCTACCTTCAGACCCTGGTCTGGTAGACCCTAGTCCTAATACTAAAGTTGGGATAGGTGTAAGGCAGAAGAAATAAGCCCAGGAGTGAAAGAAACAGAGGTTACCAAGAAATCCAACCTTTGGATCGTTGAAGAATTTTAATTCAGCAGTGGCCCATTAACTACTTCTGTCAGGTTACTGATATCCATTCCTCAAACTTTATGGAAGTTTTGAGAAACGAATTGTTGAGGAATTGTGTAGAGCCACTTGGAACCTATAGGTTTATTAGAAATTAGTTTTGGGGCTCTATTTTGGGGCTTTAATGGAATGTTACCCGCTCATGCCCTTTTATAAAGAAAGCAGTAACTTTGTGCCATGCTTCCTTTTTCTTTATTCCTGGTGGCTAAACCAGTCACCAGATAGTTGAGAACTACAGGATGTTTAGCCTTAGACCTTTATTGGACAGTCCGGGCCATTGAATGGTCTTCCATAGCCTAGTGGGGAAGGTATGACTGCAGGATTCTAATTCATAGAGAACGGTCAAACATTTGAAGAGAGTGCTGTGGGAGGTTTAAGAGAGTCTCTTTAGTCAGGGAGGGTCCACAACAGAGGGGGCCTCTGAGCTGCATTTTGCCAGCTATAAAAGCATACTTTGGGAGGAAACTGTGTGTAAAGGCATGGAAGCAGAAGAGAATGGCTCTTTCTGGGAGTCTGGGGTTATCCACTGCGGCTGGTACCTGTAGGGTTCATTAGAGGCTGCCAGAGGTACAAGGCTGGAGAGATGGTTTGGGGCAAGACTGAGGTGCATGCCCCGACCTGCAGGCAGTGGAACATCTGCAGCAGGTCGTAAAGTGGAAGTGATAGGATTCATTTTCCTTCTCAGTAGTGTGGTGGAGTAGAAACAGTGCCATCAGCAATGTGGAGGGGGCCCCACCATGAAGACTGGCGGCTGAGAGGCCATCTGGTGGGCAGATATGGATGACAGGGCGCACCGTATGCGCCGGAGTAGGGGGATCCGTGAGGGAGCTGAAGAGCCGTCAGAGATGGAAGCGGTGCTTCTCTCCACTTTGGGATTTTCTTCCTCTCTTGAGAAATGAGCCATCTGTGATTGAGATGGAGGTAGTGGCATTGGAGATGAACAAGATAGGCAAAAGTTGAGATTTTAGAGATGAAGTGGCTAAAACTTGGTGATGGATGGGATGTCTGTCGGGAAAAGGAGAGTTGGGTGACGGCTGAGCGTCTGTCTCAGAATGGGGCAGAGATGAGGGAGAGCTGAAGTGCCTCGGCTCTCATCCTTCCGTTTCGGTGACGTACTGATGAGCTTGTCTTCCCAGGTGGTTTGGGAGTTCTTTGCTATAATTTAAGAGACTTGCTGAAGAGTCACAGAACCTTTCAGTGACAGGCGTGTGGCTTCCAGTGAGCCTGTTATTTCTTGTCAGAGCTTAGAGTTAAGCATATTTGTAGGAAACAGCATGTCGCATCTGGAGTAACAGACTTTCCCATTGCTGCCACATATGAAGTGACATTCTAGTGGTGTCAGCCTTACAGGGCTTGTTTGGGTCTGATTGTCAAGGTCCCATAGAAGGAGTGATGTTACACCCAGGACATTTTCTGCAGCATATCATGTATGGCGTGATTTACTCTTTGGAGGCACTAACCCTAGTTGAGATGCTATTTATGGAGCTTTTCTCACATGGAAACTCTTCTTTGGCTCTCCACGGGAGGGTCTGGGTGTTGCTGGCCCTTTATGGTGGACAGAGGTTGCAGACAGTTCAGGTGTTGCTAATGGAAATGAAGACGGGGACGTTTGTGGTATGAGGGGTGAGGAGTGTACCTTACGCAGAGCCTAAGGATGCTTTTGTGAGAGAGTCACAAACATCTGTGCAACAGATGCTGTCACCTGAGTTCTCAAGGTGGTGTGGGTGTGAAAAGGAAGAACGGATTTGCTCTGACTCTATGGGGCCGAGGGGGGAACCGGAGGCTCTCCTCTCACAGCTTCTTGCTGTTCCTGAGTCATTGGAAAAGCTGTGCTTGTTTGAGCTTGTGCTGCTCCCAGAAAAAGGACTCTGAAGTCACCCCCCACCACCGGGAAGGAAAGCTGCTCTCAGGGCAGCTTTCAGTGCTCCTCCCCTGTTGCCCAAAATACTTTTTGCTTTTGAATTCCCTGTTTGTTCCATGAAGCTTCATCTTTGTACCGACTCTGGTATGGAAATGTATTTGTTCCCCCAGAAATGATGTCTGAGAAGTTGGACAGGAATGGAGTTTTGAGCAGAGAATTATAAAACTAGATTGTAGTTATTTCACTCCACACTTTTTACCTGCTTATAATACTTTTATTAAAAGCCTTTTACTCCAATTTCACTAGAGTACTTCAACTGTTATTTTATTCTTCTAAGCCAGAGGTCAGCAAATTTTTTTAATAGTAAATTTTCTTGGCTTTGTGGGCCAAAAAAAACTATGGTCTCTGTCACCACTACTCAGCTTTGAAGTTGTAGTTCAGGCAGCCTGTAGACAAGTAAATGAATTGGCATTTCTGCATGTCACTACAACTTTATTTACAAAAATAGGTGGGACAAACCATACAGAAACTAAAAGAATTACTAGAGAATACTAGGAACGTTGTATGTCAATAAATTAGATAATTTAGATGAAAGGACTAATTCTAGAATGACATGGATTACTGAAAATGCCTCAAGAAGAAATTGAAAATCTGAATAGGCCTGCAAGTTATGACATTGAATTAGTAATGGAAAAACTACCCACAAAGAAAATCTCTGACCCAGATGGCTTCACTTGTTAATGCTACCAAATAGCTGAAGAATAATTAATACTAACCCTTCACAAACTTTTCTAAGACATAGAAGAGGAGGGAACACTTCTCAATTCATTCTAAGAGGCCAGTAATACCCAGATACCAAAACCAAAGACATCCCAAGAAAACTACAGACCACTACCTCCTATGAGCATAGACATAAAAGTCATCAACAATATGCTAGCAAACTGAACCCAGAAACATATAAAGAGTTGTACACCATGACCAAGTAGGATTTATCTCAAGACTGCAAGGTAGGTTTAATATCCAAAAGATCAATTAGTATAATATACAATATTAACAAAAGATGAAAGCCATATGGTCCTCTCAACAGACATAGAAAAATCATATGACAAAATCTAACACCTTTTCTTGATAAAATTGCTCAATAAACTAGGAATAGAAGGAACTTCCTCAACTTGATAAAGGGCATCTATGAAAAACACAACTAACATCTTACTTAATGGTAAAAGACTGAAAGTTTTCCTTCTAAGATCAGGAACAAGCCAAGGATGTCTACTCTTGCCACTTCCGTCCCCATTGAACTAGAGGTTCCGACTAGAGCAATTAGACAAGAAAAAAAAAATTAAAGGCACCCAGATTTGGAAGGAAGAATTGAAATGATCTCTCTTCACTGAAGACATGGTCTTAGTATATTGAAAATCCTAAGAAACCCAGTAAAAAACTTCCAGAACTAACAAACAAGTTCATCAGGTTTGCAGAGCACAAGATCGAGATACAAAATTCAGTTATGATCCTACACTTGCAGTGAACAATCCAAAAATGAAATTAAGAAAACAATTCATTAACAATCACATAAAAAAATAAATAAAATACTTAGGACCAAATTTAACTAAATTACATAACTTATACTCTTAAAATTACTAAACATTTTATTTTTGTTGAAAGTAATTAAAGATCTAAATAAAGAGAAAACCATCCCATGTTCATAGGTCATAAACTTAATAGTTTTAGGATAGTCCTATTTGCCAAACTGTTCAGTGTAATTCCCTATAGAATACCAGCTAGTTCTTTGTAAAAATTGACAAGCTGACCCTCAGATTCACGTGGAATCGCAAAGAACCCAGAATAGCCAAAGTGGGGGCGCACCTGCTCTTCCCGATTCCAAAGCTTCCGCAGTGATCGAGACAGCGTGTCACCGAGGTAAGAATAGACATTTAGATCGATGAAATAAAATTGGGAGTCCAGAAATGTATCCTTAAATTTATGGCCGATTGGTTTTTTTATAAGAATGCCAAGATAATTCAATGGAAGAAAGAACAGTTCGTTCAGCAAATGGTTTAGGGATACTGGATATCCCTATACAGAAAAACAAAATTGGACCTCTGCTTCTCATCATACTCAAATATTAACTCAAAATGAATCGGACCTAAATGTAAAAGCTGAAACTGTAAAACTCTTAGAAGAAAACAGGAGTAAATTTTATTAAGACCTTTTTTAAGCAAAAACATCTTAGATATAATATCAAAAGCACAAGCAATAAAAAATAGGTAAGTTGGACATTAAAATTAAAATACTATGTGGACAAATGATACCATCAAGAAAATGAAAAAATAACCTACTATTTGGAGAAAAGATTTCAAGATCATATATTTGGTAAGGAATTTGTATCCAGAATATATAAAACTCTTAAAATTCTATAATAAAAAGACATAAATCCAGTCTTCAAATGGATAAGTGATTTAAACAGACATTTCTCCAAACATGATATATAAATGGCCAATAAGCACATGAAAAGATACTTCAACATCATTAGTCATTGTGGAAATGTAAATCAAAAACATAGTAAGCTATCACTTCACATCCACTAGGATGGCCTTAATCAAAAAGACAGACACTGAAAAGTGTTGCCAAGGATGTGGAGAAGTCGGAACTCTCATACACTGCTGGTGGGAATGCAAAATGCACAGCTACGATGGAAGGTGGTTTGGCAGTTCCTCAAAAAGTTAAACGTAGGAATTCCACTCCTAGTTATACACCCGAGAGAGAGGGAAACATCCACACATATTGAACCTCAGCAGGATCAATGGAGTAAGGACCTCTGAAAATCTGTTCCTCCGAGAAAGCAGTGAGAGCCCTGGCAAAAATTGTCAAAATCAACTTTTTCAGAACTCTGGAAATTAACTGCAGGCTTGGTGGCTTTTGAACTTTCCCTGTTCCCATCCCCGTCTCTCCAG